GTGAAACGCACAATGAAAGAAAGATGCTATTTTGAGAAGATAAAATTGATAAAACTTTGTTAGATTAACAAAGAGAGATGGGGAGAAAGACATAAAGAAGAGCCAAATAAAATCAGAGATGAACAAGGAGACATTACAACTGATACAACAGAAGTACAAAGAATTTTAAGAAATTATGATGAACAAGTATATTAATAAATTGAAGAACTTAGAAGAAATGAATAAATTAATGAACACTGACAACCTATCAAGACTGAATCAAAAAGAAATAATGGAGAATATCATGCTAAGTGAAGTAAGCCAATCCCCAAAAAACCAAAGGCCAAATGTTCTCTCTGTTAAGTGGAAGCTGATCCATAATGTGGGGGGTGGTATAGGAAAAATGGAGGACCTTTGATTGGGGAAAGGGGAGAGGGAGAGGTAAGGGAAAATGGGGGCAGGAAAGATGGTGGAATGAGACGGACATCATTACCCTAGGTATATGTATGACTGCACCTACAGTGTGACCCTACATAGTATACAACCAGATAAATGAAAAGTTGGGCTCCATTTGTGTACAATGAATCAAGATGCATTCTGCTGTCATATATACCTAATTAGAATAAATAAATAAGAAATAGAAAATCTAAACAGATCCAAAACCAATGTGATAGAAGCAGTAGAAAAAGTGTCTCATCAAAAAATGTCGAGGACCTGATACTTCAAAGAAGAGTTCTACAAAATACTTGTAGAGGAAAAAAATTGTGATTCTTTTAAAACTGTTTCATAAAACTTAAAAGGAAAGTATTCTGCCAATTTTAGAATATTATAAAACTGTAGGAAAGCATGTCATATACCCTTATAAAACAATAGAATCATGCATGTTCCTTAAAATCAAAGATAAAATATACATGCACCTGATATATGATCTATTCTAGAGAATTCTCCCTTCACTGATGAAAAGAATTTCTGAGAAAGAGCCTTTCTGGGTACAAAATTCTTGGTTGGCAGAATTTTATTTCAAGATCCAGAATACGTCTTTAAGTTCTCTCCTGAACTAAGATTTCTGTTGAGAATAAGGCAGATTTATTTATATGTAACTTGATGGTATTTTCCTGCAGATTTTCAGAATTCTTTCTTTGTCTTGAACTTTTGACAGTTTAACTATAATATTTGTGGTGGTGATATTTTCTGCTCATGTCTGTAGGCCTCCTGTACATGGATGTCCATATCTTTCCCGAAACAATAGTTTTCTGTTATTACTTGATTGAATGATATGTAAAAAAAAGTGATACATCACACCAACAGAATGACAGATAAATGTTATATGATCATGTCAATAGATGCAGAAAAAGCACTTTATAATATTCCGTATGTCTTCATGATAAAGCCATGAACCAGTTAGGCATGGAAGGATCATACCTCAACTAGCAAAGGTTATTCATCAACCAGCAACCTAGTAAATGGGGAAAAGCTGAAAGCATTTTCTCTAAGATAAAGAACAAGACAAGGGTATCCACTCTTCTTACTCAATAATGTACTAGAATTTTAGAGTAATTAGGCAACAGAGAGATGTATAAATAAAAGGCATACAATAGGAATGGAGGAAGTCAAATTATCCCTGTGTGCAGATGATGTGATTCTATACAGGGAAAATCTAAAGACTCGACCAAAAGACCATTAGAACTGAAAAACAAGTTAAGTAAATATGCAGGATACATAATCGACATGCTATTATCAGTCGCTTTTCTACATGACAGCAATGAAGTTGCTAAGAAAAAAAACCATGAAAACAATATTATTTGCAATAGTTACACAAATAAAATAGCTAGAATTTAATTTAAATAAGAAATTGAAAAACTTTTATGATAAACATACTGATGAATGAAATTGAAGAAGACACTAGAAGGTGGAACTACCTCCAATATTCATGAATTTGGAATATTAATATTATTAATATAAATTTATATTATAACAAATGTTATATAGATTCAGTGCAATACCCATCAAATTACCAATGAGATTCTTCACAGAATTAGTAAAAACAATCCTAAAATTCATATGAAAGCCCTCACAAACACACCAAAAAAAAAAATACCAAAGCAATCTTGAGTAAAAGGAGCAAAGCTGGAGACATCACAATCCTGGATTTCAAGATACACCACAAAGCCACAGTAACCCAAATAGCATGGCATTGGCATTAAAACAGATATACAGACCAATGGAACACAGCTAGGATCCTAGAAGTGAACCCACAGATCTATGGCCAACTGGTTTCTTGACCAAAAACATACTATGGAAAGAAGGCAGTCTCTTCAACAAATAGTTCTGAGAAAAGTTTATATCCCCAAGCAGAAGACTGAAACATAGCCCCTGACCCCTATCTTACACACTTACAAAATCAACTCAGAATGGATCAAAGACCTTAATATAAGACCTGAAACTACTTGATAAAAATATAGGTAAAAGGCTTCAGAACCTTGGTACAGAAAAAATGGTTTTCTGAATAGGAACCCCAAATCACAGAAAACAAAAGCAAACATTGATAAACCGAGATTCCTTCGAAATAAAAACTTCTGCACAGCAAAAGAAATCATGAACCGGGTGTAAAGACCACTACAGAATGAGAGAAAATATTAGCAAACCATACATATGACAGGGGGTTGATATACAGAATATATAAGGAGCTCAAAAAACTATCAGAAACCTGATTAAAAATGGGCAGTAGATTTAAATAGACATTGCACGAAAGAAGACATACAAATGGCCAACAGGTATAAAAAAAAGCTCACTATCACTTATCATCAGAGAAATGTAAGTCAAAGCAACAGTGAGATATCACAGCACCCCTGTAAGAACTGCTATTATCAAATCTAAAGATAGCAAGTGTTGATGAGGAGGTGAAGAGAGCCCTTACACACAGCAGGTGGGGATGTAAATTAGCACAACTATTATGGAAACCAGTATGGTGTTTCCACCTGAAATTAAAAAATAAGTAGCTACTTTAGATAATTAATTTCTCACATCCAAACATATCAAGAAACAAAAAGTCTAACTTACACATAGTTTTTAAAGATAACTAAAACTTTAAAATGGTAATGTATGTAGAGTCAATGTAAAATAAAATTTTACATTCAATGCCACTACTTCTTGCAAACACAAAATTCTCTTTCAAATTTTTATTTCTCAGGATAAGAAAGCCTTTTTTGATGTGTTATCTGAGTGTACAGCACAGTTTTTGATTATTCAAGAAGCCAGAGAAATATTTCCTGCATTAAAGTCAATCTTAAGCTGCTTCTCAGAACATTTATAACAATTTTCTCTTTATATTTATCACATTGAAAATAAGTGAAATAAATCCCACAGAGATGTTCTGAATTACTGAACACTGAATAATAGATTTTGTAACCCTTATGTATTCTGACTACCAATGAATAAATTGTGATATTATGATGCAACATAGCTGCACCTATTAAGAACTATGTATATTGTGACCCAGGTTAATTCTTTTTCTTGTATTCTATTTTTTAAATGCATTTATTTATTCTAATTTGTTAGAATAAATAAATTTGAATGTATTTTAATTCACAGTCCACACATAGAGCACAATTCTTCATGTCTCTGGTTGTACACAACCCAAGTTAATTCTTAAGAACCTCATTTAACAAAGAAAGGCAATTTGAAAATTTTCCTGGATCAATTAAAGTCATTACATTTCCTAGCTGCTGATTTCTAAACCACACGAACAACAATGTACAAAATAAAGACAGAAGAAGGAATATGTTCATGTTTATCCTCTATAATTGACAGGTTTAGTAAATTCATTAATGAAGAGAAACCAGAAGACACAGTCAGTATTTAAACAGAAACAGACTGTTATCAAAGACTAAGCAAACCCCACCTATAAATTTCCCAAATTTTTTTCAGTTTTTAACAGGTGAAAGTAAATAGGCATTCCTCAATTGTAAATTTGATATTTTGGCAATAGAGATTGCAGGTAGTATTTCAAATTACAGATAAAGAGTGTTGCTAGTTATGAGCGCATCTATTCATATTTCAAATTGACCTCCTAGTATGTCTACATAACTGTATTTTCCCCACTGATTAAAAAAACTTCTCATGTAATCTGGACTACCTTATTTCGAAACACACCTCAAGGAAAAACGAGAAGAGTTGAGAATGTAAATCACAGCACTGTTCCCTGCTGTTGGATTATAACCACTATGCTAAAGCCAACAGATTCAGAGCACTCATTGCCAATGAGGAAATACACTTAGCACTCTATATTAACTCTAAAATATTTGTAATATCGCTCTCTGCACTTAAAGATATGTGACAACAGACGAGGTAACTCTGTGGTGACACTGGTAAACATTATCATTTTTACAGAGTTGACAATTTAGTCAACATTGAGTCAATCATGCTCATGCATCATATTTAGGTTTATGTGAACAATTAGTAAATGCCACAGTGCTTGAAAATTCGTGTGCGTGCGCGCCCCCATGTATGTTTGAGGTCATCAACACAGGAATTTTCAACTTGAGAACCACAACGGAGAAGTACCAATAATGCCATCCATCACCAGTGCTGTGATCTGTGACAGTCTCATCTACCCTCATCTGCTCCTTTCCTTCCCCAAGCAAGACAATGGGCGGGGCCGGTGGCTCCCCACTGCAGCCCAGCGACGGTCCCGCCTCCAGCTTGGCTGTCCTACTAGCTACTTGCGACCTGGGGCACCGGCACTGGGACTACGGGGAAGGAAGTCGTGTTGCACACGGAGGATCCGGGAAACGAAACCAGGAGCCACGGTGAGGTCACTTCTAGGCCTCCTTCCAGCTTTCTTCAGGAAAGGTTGTGCAATGGCTGTACCCGGCAGCCGAGAGGCAGACAGGAGGAGAGTCGCTGCCCGGTACACGGTTCCAGGACTAGGGCTCCCTCGGGGCTGCGCGTTCACAGCGACAGTCAGATGGTGGACGCCCTTCTCTGTCGCCTACCAGGGCGGGTCTGCCTGGATTGTGTAGAAGAGACTCGCGCTGCCTCATTCTTTTTGATGGAGTGGGGGAGAAGGGCCCGGGAAGTAGAGAGGACCCTGGCCAAGGGGTCCTAACTGTTTCGGTGGTAGCCCTGGCCTAGCCCAGAGGCAGTTCAAAGGCAAGGTGAGTCCTGCCTGAGAAAACCCGGCCTGGCTCTCCTTGCACACAGCTTCCCGGGCTTCATAGCTCAGAGAGCTTCTCTGAATTGAGGCCAGAAGGTGAGCTCAGAGCTTCTGCCAGCATCATGGGGTAATAGGAGGAGGGAGTAAGTAAAGCTGCTAGCTGCCACTGAACAGCAAACAATAATTGGAATTATGGCTGCAGCTCAAACTCTGCTTGGCTATCCAGAACACCAGATGAATAGGGAAGACAGAGCTGTAGGTGGCAGGTGGGTGAACCCTTTGCTTCAGAGTCACATGTCAGTTTCAATCCTGTCTCTACTGTCTCACAGCTGTGGACTCCGGGCCAGTGTCTTCACTCATGTTCATTCAGTTGCCTTATCTCTGAAATCTCTAAAATTGTGTAACTATTACAAGAAACACCAAATTAAGACAGAGCATTGTGTGCATCAATATAAGGTGCAGGGGCCCCATCTGGCACTGCAGAACATCCCAGGGAAAGCTCGCTCCCATTATTACAAGCATTTGACAAAGTGCCTGCTGCTCCCAGCTGACCTTCTGACTCCCAGGTGGCTTTACTGATGCACTGGCATTCCTGGAAGTCTGGGCAGGACCACTTCCCAGTTCCAGGAACCGGCACTCAGCATTTCCCATTTCCCAACTGGAGACATGTTAGAGAGCCGCAGCTTGGTGAGAGGTCTTAGGCAGATCAGAGCTCCTTCCCCTTCTTGATCCTGCCTCACAGCAGAACTTTCTCTTAATGCCACCCTGGCACTTGCAATAATTGTATGGCTTTGAACAATGAACATACTCATGGGAATGAAAAATGAAATGAGTGGGTTTCTATGTTTGGGTAGAAAACCATCCTCACCTCCAAGGAGCTCTCTCTCCTCTGCTCCCAGATCTCTCATTGCCTGAATGAGCCAAAATACTTCCAGCCTCAGGACTTGTGCTCTGGAGGTTCCCATAGCTAGAGCACAGTCACTCCAGATACAACCCACACCCAGGACACCACCCAGTGGATGGTTATAGACATTTTTCAACTCAGATCTGAGTTGCCTGACAATGTCACTGTCACTATCAACTAAATCTTTGCCCTCATAGCCCTTTCTTCTAGCATCATTATTTTTTACTCAGAGTACTTAATGTATTGTAAATATTTAAATACAATTATATCTCTACATATGTATTTTACATGTTTATAATAAATAATAAATATCTCATATTTGTAGTAACTGTGTTCCATGTTTTCCTAGTGTCTGATATAGTGATTTGCAAGCCCTGTGCCTTCAATTAATGTTTCTTGAATAATAGGATACAAGCTTTATACTAAGTGAATATTTATAAATTTGTAAATGAATATGTATGTGTACATTGTGTATCTATATGCGCACATAAGACTATTTGAAGAATGATAGATTTAAAAAAGTACTTAAATTAATAAGCACTAACAATTGTTATTTCCATTTTCCAAGTTTTGTTTTAGAAAAGTTCTTAGAAAAAAGTCTTGCCTATCTAAGTAAAATTTACATGACCACAAGAGTAAATTGAAATTCAAGCCTTTTCAGTCTTATGTAATGACAGTCTTTTAAAATTTTTTACTGAAAGTTGGCCATTTGGGAGAATGTCTTTATTTTTTCAATGAGCATGAGTGCCAAGAACTTGCCCCTGGAATCAGGAATCATTTAAGTTATGTAGCTAGTTATTTGTATGATGTTAAGTAACCATCGTATATTTACTTACAGGCTTAGTTTTCTCATTTAAAGGTGATAAAGTAAACACCTCAAATTTATGAGGCAGCAGTGGGTTGTCCAGAAAGGCTTTTCAAGAATAAATATGCAATGAGATAGGGTTGTAGGTCGGTGGTAGAGCGCTTGCCTAGCGCGTGTGAGGCACTGGGTTTGATCCTCAGCACCAAATATAAATAAATAAATAAAATAAAGATATTGTGTCCAGCTACAATTAAAAAGAAAGGAAAAAGAATAAATATACAAATCAAATGAGAAAAACTGACTTTGAAGATCAGTTTTTTTGTGTCTTCTGGCTCTTTGGTTTACTGCTTAGTTTTTTAAACACTTGGTCACTGCAATCTCATTTTATCCTATTTGATATAGGATCTGTGTTTTAATTCAAGGCTTACTACAAAGTAACTATCCCAAATTGGTTCTAAGCCTATTTTGTCTAGTTTTATTGAACCTGAAATACAGAAATAGATTTTTACAGGAAGACTCCCTGTTATAAGATTACAATTATAATCAGCCTCGGTAAAAGGCCTCTGTCTCATATTTTACAGGTATGAGCAGCGATGTACTGAAATGCTCACCATCTCTTATCATGTCCATATTTTAAAAGACAACAGTTATTGTTCCGCTTAACTGTTACCCAGACCACAATGAAACCACAACAGACGAAATGGTTTTCTCTTCAGAAGTTAATCAAACCTTCTTTGAATGCATGCAATTTACCCACAAACATACTTACAAGAATATGGAAATTATTTGACTTTTGATTTACCTCAACCAATGTTGCCTTGTCTCATTGTCCTACTCCCCATTACTCTTCTTCCCCGCAAACAAAGTCTTATTCTCACTTATTGATAGGGAGCTAGAAACCTGAACTTCTGGTGAAAGTTTTTAGAGGAGTAAAGTTGTGCAAAAATAATTTAAAACATACACCATCATATTAGGGCTTGAGAAGAACATGAATTGGTTTATCTTGTGTTTGGGTTAGAAAGATTTGTTCTTAGGCAGTTGAGAAGTAAATTCAGAACTACAGCCCAAATTTAGTTTATGCCAATTTTATAAGGATAGTAATTTTAGGATCTTCTAAAATTATAAATGCTTCCCTTTGGGTTCTAGATTTTACATTAGTACATTTTGAAAGCATTCAAACAGAAATTTCAAGATCCCAGGAAATGGATCAAATGGTTTAGCTTTATCAAAACACAAAATTTCAACAAATTGAATGGACAGGCTTAATGAACTTTTAGTAGCAACCCATGAATAAAGCAGTTTTTTGACTAAAAATAGAAAACTTACACTGGGAATGGCTGAACAGTCGGTTTTTATAAAGCAGCTTAAGAGGGAACTATGAAACCATATAACATTAAAGACAAGTTGGCAGTAGGATGAGATGGACATCATTACCCTAAGTACATGTCTGAAGACAAGAATGGTATGAATATACTTTGTGTATAACCAGAGATATAAAAAACTGTGCTCTATATGTGTAATATGAATTATAATGCATTCTGATGTCATATATAACACAATACAAATAAAAAGACAAGTTGGTTGACAACTGGTAACTTCAGGTTGCCCTTCTTAAAATAGTAATGGTGGGGGACCTGACTATGCTAACTAAAACCAGCTCTTTGCAGTTAACAATCTTTTCCTGATTTCTAGAAGCTCAGATAAACAACTTAGCTTCAGTTTGGTGACATGGAATTTTATCATGAGTGATTCCATTTTGCTTTGGTCTGTTAGGGCTTTGTGCAGGAGTTCAAACAAAACCAAGAGCTTGCAGTAAGTTTTATTTGACAATGACGATATGAACTATGAAGCTGGAATTGGATATCCTGTATGTTGTTTCACCCTCTCCCTCTGTTAGAGGTTCACAATGATAAAATAGCCCAAAATAAATTTAACAGTGATGTACTTAGATGTACATAGTAGGTAATAACTCAATTTTCTCCAAAGCTGCTCCTAAACAGAATTAGGGAGAAATGTATAATTAGATTGTGAAGAAGTTTTGTATTTTTCTTGGAGTAATTATGATTCCAATGGCACAATATGATTTTGGTTATAGACTTTCTTTCTTTTGGTAATGCATAAATATGTTTTCTTTTTCCATGAAGTCTTTTTAGCATTTGTTTTTTAGTAAGAACACTGAAAGCAGTTATTTAGTTATCATGTTAACTTAATTAACTAATTTCACTAGAACATAGCTCAGTCATTTTCCCCAATTGAGTAATATTGTGTTTGGAATAGGTCCATGATCCATTGTATTAGAGTTATGTAGAGAAACAGAACAATGCACAGTTTTGTTTTTTTTTTTTTTAATAAGAAATTGGCTCATACAATTTTTTATGCAAAGTCCCATATTCAACAGTCTGTAAATGGGACACTCAGAAAATCCAGGGATGAAATTCAGTCTGAATCCAAAGATCTGAGTACCCGGGGAGTCAATGATGCAGACACCAACATGGGTCTGAAGGCCAGAGAGCCAGAGACGCTGAGACCAGAACACAGACAAAATGGCAGGAGGAGTTGGATTCCTCTTTCCTCTACCTCTTCTTCTACTCAGACTCTCAAAGAGTAGATGAAGCTCACCCACACTGTGTAGGAAAGTTTAATAACTCATTCCACAGATCCAAGTGCTTGTTTCATCAAGAAACATTTAAACACCTCTGGAAATCAGGTTTAATCTGAGTACACTCTAGCCAGTTAACACATGAAATTATCCATCACACATCTACCCTTATCAATGTGTCATTTATATGCCTCTCCTAAAGTGTAATTGAACATGCACTGGGGTGTCTTCCCAGAAGAGGACATTAAGTCCTTGAGTGACTTTTACTCTTTTCCTTGTTATACCTTAACTTAAATGCTAAGATGTCAGATTTTAAAAATGCTTGAACACTGTGATATATCATCTGTACATCTTATGTTACATGATATGAGATCAAGAGTGTAGGGAAAGCACACACACATTAGACATAGCTAAAAGTAGAGGAAATAATCTTATCATTACAGTCCTTGTTTCTGAAACTGGTCACATGAGCATAACTGGTATCTATAACTTTCTTCTACTGCTCTGTAATCCCCTTTTCCTCCAGCAAGCACCTCTAGAGGTACAAAGGTCAGTTAACATATTACACCAGAGCTTATGATGTGCCATTTTTAATGGCTGAGATATTGTGTGATTACTAAAATTCTAAAAGCCATAGGAAAATGAGGACGGAACCTTTATCATCAATAGTGTTTCACATACTGAACTATAGTTGAAGATGTAATAAAACCAAACTGGGATAAAGAAAGTAAGCAGGGAACAAATGCACACTATTTTAGCCTGTGTTTTATTTTCTCTTTCTAGAATTTCTGTTCAAGATGAGAATGATCTCTGACCAAAGCACACATCAGGGCTGAATGTTTCAGCTGGTACTCATTAGACAAGGACCCAGATGCACAAAATGAGTCAGGCCTTTTCATATTTTTTGCTCGAGTTGTGCAGTACAGACCATGGGGTGTGGAATTTCTAGAGATAATCTCCCAGTGTGCACTGGGAGTTCCCCTTTCTTGCTCCCCTGCTGGTCTGTTCCTGAATCCCAGCTCAGAGGCAGGACACTGGACCATATGCTTCCTCTGGATGTGTAGGTCGTGAAGGCTGCAGTTTTTAGCTTGGTTGCCAGTGGGGGGGTTACAGGTTTACAGTGTTCCTTCATAACTTTTTACATCATTGGATCTTCTCCCCAAAGGCTTTTAGAAGGTGTCTGCCATCATGGGCCACCCAACAACTTCTGAAATCCTACTCAAAGTAGCATGGGAAATAGGGCCCGACCCAGAGGTTTAAAGGACTAGGTGAGGATAGACGAGGTTAATAGAGAGGACTATTCCATGAATGTGACTGTGTAGTTTAGCGCACCTTGTTTCAACAGTTATATTTGAACTTGTAGATATTGTGCTAATATCAAATCTTCTTTTTCAGGACTATGTAAACCATGGGCAAGAAAAGTAAGTAATTTAAGTGTTTTCTTTCCTCCCTGTATTAAATCCTTCCTGTATTAACTTGTCTTTCTCATGTCGTTTTCTTTCTTTTTTTTTTTTTAATACTTCTGAAAGGTTGTCATTTGTATCTGTTTAGGTGTCTAATGCTCAGCACTTCTAAAACCTTTGTGAGATATAAATGACAGATCTCACTTTTTTGCTCAGAATCCTCCAATGCCTGCCAATCACACTTGGAAGAAAACACCAGATTTTCCTAAGGGCCCAGAGATGAGCTGTTTCCTACTGTTCTACTGACAGCCAACCCTATTCTTCTCTTGATGATGCTTCTGTTTTCCTAACATGACACATTCATTCCCAAAGTCGGAGTTTTTGCATTTTTCTTTTCCTTCCTCTTGGAACTGTTCTCACTAGAACTTTTCCCTTGTCATCTTTTGGGTCACAACAGGAATTCTATCTGCCTAAAGTAACAGCCTCATTCCCTGCTGCCGACCCGATGTGTTCTTTTTTCCTATCAGGTAAATCTGAAAATGTTTTTGAAAATTTATTTTCTTACTACCCAAAGATAACTGTCAGCAGCCAGAGAGCAGCTGCCTTCTTGATAACAGTTTCTCCTCATTCTTCAATGGATCCTGTCACATTACTGATCATCTGTAAATATTCTTTTATTTTAAAAGAAATAAAATCCAACTGGGCATGGTGCTGCACACCTGTAATCCCAGCAGTTCAGGAGGCGAGGCTTTGCTAAGCAACTCAGTGAGATCCTGTCTCTAAATAAAATACAAAAAGGGCTGGGGATGTGGCTCAGTGGTTGAATGCTCCTGAGTTCAATCTCCACTACCAAAAAAAAAAAAAAAGGAATGAAATCCAATAGTGATATTTGTAAGTTGCTAATATGTTTAACTTGTTTGTGAAGTCTTGTTTTTTAGTGATATGCAAATTCATTTTCAGTTTTCCATTCAAATTTATTTTCTGTTATAGGTATTTTTGCATGTCTCAGTGCTGTAATATTGTGGACCTCAGTCTTTTGAAATGATATTCCATTCCTCAGGAGTTGCTAGTCTGTGGACTATGCAAATAAGCTAATGAAGCAGCACTGCAAACACACATTTGCATGGAACATAAAGAACATACTTACCAAATTTCTTCCTCTATTCTGCTTCATAAATACTCATGAATGCTGCTCTAGCTTTTTGCCCTCTTTGTTTTCAAAGTATATTTTTTCAGATAACTGAAAGTGCAAAATTTAAATTTCTAACCAAAATATTATAATTGATTTTTTAAAAAATTATTAAACATAACTTAGAAAGAATACTTGGCAGACTGAAATCCCAGGCAAACTACTAACCTAGACAGGTGTTTGGAATCAACTAAAAGGAATGCCATCCTTTTCTCTATATACTGAGCTTTCTCAATGATAGATAGCACTATAATATTTGGACTGGACAATTCTTGTTACCTGGGAAATGTTCTTGGTAGTTTCAAGTGTATAGCAACATCCCTGGCTCCTTCCACACTGAAGTGAAGATGCTCTTAGAAATACTGACCCGTGCCTTTATTTTGGGTTTCCCAATGACAACTCTGATTTTCATGAAGACATACCAGAATCTTCATGCAGGTTACTCTCGGTCATTGTTGATGTTATTTTGCACACTCAGGTATGAAAGCATATTTTCCATCTAAGATGGAAAGGGAAATCTAAGAGTGGAAGGAGAAGGCTGTGGCCAATTCTATTCACAGCCACCACCCTCAAAATAGAGGAGGATGTGAAACCAAGCATGTTTTATGTAAAAAGCTCTGAAAAAATAAAATCACACTTTAAATTTCACAGACATAGGATTTCTGAGTCAGAGTTTGATTTATAGATAGCTAGGTAATTCTGAAAGGCTTTGTAATTCTGTTTTTTTTCTGTGTAATTACAAATTATTTCTCTTTTTCATATTTTAGAAACTTTAGGCCAGTCTGGTAATCCAGAGCCCGAGGATTCCTCTCCTGGGACCACAAGTGGTTACCCAGAACCCTGGGCTGACATTCCACTCCCACCATATAGCTTTTCACAGTTTGGTGGACCTCCAGGGACACTATCGATGCCTGTGCCACCACCTCTGAACTGCCCACCTGGATTAGAACATTTAATTCTGGTAATTTCAAATACATAAAATACTCACAAAAAACAAAACTGTGCTTCCAGTTTGCTTACCAGATTAGTTATAATGATAAAATGATTAATGATAAAAGTTATAACGATAAAATAATTAGTTATAATGATAAAGCAATTATTTTCTTTTTATTAATTATCTTTGGAAATGGTAACATCATGTTTGGTTAATAGATCACTCCAATTCTTTTAGATTCAGTTTATTTTGAAACAAAATACGAATGTCTTTGCTAATTGAGTTTTCTATTATCTTGCATATAGTGTATGCTTAAAATCAAAAGCAAACACTTGTTTAGCACTATTTTCTAGGCTTTGTTCTAAGCATAATGCATGTATTGACTGAATCCTTATACTGTGTGGTGTATAGAAGCTATAATATTCCATTTTACACAAGATAAAGCTGAGATCCAGAGACAATATATAGCTTGCTCAGTGTGTAAAACCTAAGGAAGCAGGGCTGGCTCTTTTATCCTGGTACCTTGATTCTGGATCCCATTCCCTTTAATATTAATATTGAATAATTTCCTTGACAGGTGAAAAAAACTTTTTATAAGTCTTAAGAGTTCAGCTTCAGTAAGTGGTACCAAAAAGAGTGTTTATGTGTAACATATTCTTATAATTATTAAAATTACTTTTTAAAATCAATACTATGTTTATTATAAATATCAACAACAAGGAAAAAGAAATGTTGAATTTTGCAGTACTACATGATAGCTTACTTAGCAATGTGAGTAAGTAAAATAGCACTATGAAGGTAAGTAAAATACACTATGAAGTTCTATATGTCTAATCTATAAACAAATAGATATTTCCATGATAAAAACTGATGTTTGCGTAAATGAATTGTCTCTTTCCTACTAGCTTACTTTCTCACAATGCACTTAAGTAGTATTTAACCACTCACATCTTTCCACAAAATACCCTGAAATGTATATATTTTTTAAAATCAAGGTCATAAAATATGTTGAAATCTTATTTACCACAAATGATGATATCAAGTACACTTAAAAGAATACTTTTGAAACTTGCAGAAAAATTCTTTAAGTGGATTAAAAATTTTTCATATTTTATACACCTCATTTCAAAAGAGCCCTGTGCTCTAACTTTTATAAATATCAGAATAAGTCAATTTTAATTCACTTAAATTTATCTTCATCAATAGTGAATACTTTCAAATACATATTTTCAATTTAAAACATGTTAACTATAATTTTACATTAAAAAGTAATATAGACTATAATAAAAATTTAATATGAATAAATGTTAACATGTAGTACTAAACAATGAATTATGAATATTGATTGGTTGGCTGAAACATTTGAAATTCTTAATTTTGTTTTTACTCTAATAGATAGATCAGTTACTGGTTCAGCAGCAAGTTGAAATTCTGGAAGGTATGTATTCACTGTGTTCTTCACATTTTTAGAAAGACAGAAGGTTAAGCCGATGAAACCATATGAACTCCCACAAATACAGCACTCTAGATGACATAGGATGATAAACGTATTAATGTGCAAATGTCTCTTCAGAATAAGCAAACCAGGAATGTTATCAGCAATTCATTTCTAATCAAATAAAATTTATATAAGTGTTATTTATAATAGTAAATGTTGTTATAGTAAATGTTATTTTTTATTGATATCTGTCCTTATGACGTAGAAACTAAACTAGAAGAAAACTATCAAGATGTAATTTTGCTCTTCTCCTTCTCTCTCTCCAAGTCATTCTAAAAGTTTTTATCATTTTACTGGTTTCTACAAGCTCAGCTCTGTTCTCCCAATTTGAGATCACTTTGAGAATGGCACATAATCACGTGTGTTAGTTCAGCTGCTTTAGTACATTTCCAAAGTGAGTGATCTTCTGAATTCAAATGGGGATGTTTGGGAAAAATTGTTGTTCATGCCCACAGTTTCTCCTGGGATGAGATGAACCCAGTGGAATGTGTGGTCCATGGGCTCTGGGTTCCCTGGGGATTATGGGGACAATACAGGGTTGGCAGATGCTCACCACAGGTCTGGATGCTTCTTCCTGCAAGAGCGCTGCTGCTCCTGTGTGGGCCCAATGTATCCAGGGCTCCCAGGTTCAGGAGTAAACCTGCAAAGCCAAAAATACCTCAGGATGTTTGCCAAGGAAAGAGACCCAGGTAGATGTAGGAACGATGGCATCCTCCTTGCAGATATCAAGGCATAATAGAAACTCTGGTGGTTTGTTAGGACCCATATTCACCTTTTCCACTGGTAGAAAGTTGTATTCCACTGGTAGACATTAGAACATGAACTGTATTATCAGAGTATCAATTTTGTCAAAATGCACAATTGTCATCTTTCACGTTTAAATTGCTTATTAACCATTAGATATTTATAACGTTTTGATGTGGTTTCCATTCTTTAAAATAACTTTTCTTCTTTAGAAAGGAACAACTTTTTAAATAATTTGTATTCTGAATTAAAAAAAATTCTATTCTATAGTATACATTACTGTGATTATAAAATCCAAAAGGCCAGTCACTATATATTATATAGCATTCCATTTCTATTTTTTAGATATATATAATAAGCTTTATGTATATTTCAGTATATGTCTTTAATGTAGAATATATAGTGACAGATTCACTAGTTTGTAATTCTTAATTTTAAAAAGAGATATCTTTAAATTCATCTGTTGTGAGTAACATGAAAAGTACTAGTTTATTTTTGGCATCTGAAATTATGACAAGCACTTAAACCTTCGCCTAACTGAAAACTTAATAGATTCTAACAATATAACTATAGATGCTTTTGATTTCATTTTTTTTCCATGTAACTGAAAGGAAACTTGAGATTTTGAAAGACTGTTGATCTCATTTTGCAGGCACAAGTATAAAAGTTTTGAGATTAAACTACGTATTCAAGCCACAAGTTGGTTAATAGATGCCCTCTCAGAAATAAATTTAATTTTTAAAATTAGTTTTTAAGCTTTTTCAAAAACCTTAGCTTGTGACAGATGTTGTGACTAAAGATAGTCCTTTAAAGGCCAAGACTAGGCCAGTTTGAGTCCCCTCAAATTCCTTGAGAGAGGCTACAGTGATAGGACTTGTGAAGGACAAATTCAACTGTTCAGGGTCCCTCTGGTTGCACGTAAGGTTTCCACCAAGTGGATCTATGTGGAAAGTTCTTTGGTAAGGTGACATTTTGGTGTCAGCATCCATCACTCCTCCCTTTCCCTCATGAAATGATGAGCTACATGAGGTGCTGCGTTCACCTTGGGATGCCCACCATCTAGATATTTCGAGTTGAAGCCCTAGTTCCCTAGCCTGGTCCTGTCCTTTCCCTCCTGCCTAATACCCATCTCCCACTTCTCACTTGTCAACACATCCTGCTGAGCTGAACCAGGGTGCTGTGCGCCCGATGTGATGGTCTAATTCACCTTCCACTTCCACTCTCTCCCTTTTGACATGGGTCCATTGAGAGCAACCCCCACCCATTGCCACGTTGCTCAAACACGAAGGCAAAAAATAAGATATAAATATGGTTTATTAAATAAATCTCCAACCCATTGTTTTGATGTAGTATTTCATAGAATATGGATACAGAAAACATCCTAGAGACCCTCCCTAACATGTGAAAACTACCACTACGTGAACATTTTATCTATGTAACCAGTACCACTGTACCCACCTGCAGCGCGACACCAGGAGAGTGACTTGTTTTCTTTTCCATATTTCACATAATGATTCAAATTCTTTGTATATTAATATCTCTTCTCACCCTTCCCCTTTGCATTTTTTTCTCACTCTGATCATCTCTGAACAATTTCCCTTTTTCATCTTTCCTCTTCTACTTGGAATAGCATTCACCACTGATCCAGCTAGATATTGCAATGTCTTAAGACATATTCAACATTTTCAACATACTGGTGACTGTGATTTCTTCTTTTTTCTCTTTAGCCATCACAGGTTTCGAAACTAATAACAGATATGAAATAAAGGACAGACTGAAACAGACAATCTACTTTGCTGTGGAAGATAACGATTGCTGCACTCGCAATTTCTGTGGGTATAACAGGCCTTTTACCATAAAGATCCTTACTCTTTCAGGTCAAGAAATTATAATTCTGAAGAGACCACTACGATGTAATAGCTGTTTCTTCCCCTGCTGCCTGCAAAAGGTCTGTGAACAATTATTAGAAAAGTCTGTGAAGTAATTCAGTAAGAATTTTCACCCTTTCATGGAACTTGCATAACCAAATGAGATCTAAAGGCAAAGTGACCATGAGCTATAGAGTTAATATTTAGTCAATTGCATAGGAAGGAAGGCATGTAACCAATAGTCCTCTGTCTCTAAATAGTTTTCCCCATAGGGTTGATCAATAGCTCAGAGATGAGAGAATTCTTTATACCTTATACCCAATGACTCTGATAGGCATGATCAAAATTGATGGAGTTATACCTCTGAGAATATCGTAGAATACCATTTTAAGAGCACATAGAAGAAGAAATGTGTGGGATCCCATGGGTCTGCAACTCAGTCATCCTATACAGATTGCTGAGAAACCAGGACACAGAGATAACACAGTCAAACAGTTATTCGAGGTCTTAACGCTGTACTTACTTTGAGAGGATAGCTGAATTATTCCCATCAAGTGATTCCTATCATTCATTATTCATTAATTACTTTGCTTTCCACATCATTTGGGATAGGAATAATTTAATACAAATTTTGGACTCAAAAGAGTTGGATGGGAAATGCTGTGCAGTTGAATAGTGCAGTTGAATAGTGCATTAACATGTATCCTGTTACCTTGAACTTTTCAAAAGGTCATTCCAGGTGAGCACAGTCAGGCACCATCATGCTCACCCAGCTAATGAATAAGTCAAAATTCCAGTGGCTGGATTCTTTTCATTACAGCAGCATGCATGGTCATATTTGAAAATTGCACCATTGAGCAGAGATCTGTCCGTACATATAAGCCAGTGGTTTTAGAACATGCTTTAGAACACTATGTGTGCAGTCTGCCTGAATTTCTGCTCATCTCTTCCATAAACCAAAGAATCTGGTGCCAGTTTATTTACCCCTACCTTCTTCAGTCAGGTCCTCTATAAAGGATGAAAAGGAATAGTACTGACCTAGTGAGGATGTGTTGGGTATTTCAATATCTGACATTGAAAAAGTGCTCAGTAAATGAAAGCTACTAGTAGACATTATGACACTGATAATTATATTCACAAATGTCCTTTTGCTTTTGTAGATAGAAGTTCAAGCTCCTCCTGGTGTACCTATAGGTTATGTTTCTCAGACCTGGCACCCATGTTTTCCCAAGTTCAGTGTTCAAAATGAGAACAGAAAGGAAGTACTGAAAGTTATTGGTCCAATTATGGTGTGTAACTGCAGCGCCAATATTGATTTTGAGGTAACAGATGCGATGGTTTGCTTTCCTAATATAAAAAGAATCTATTTTTTCACAAGATGGAACAAATATCTTAAATAAGTATTTGTGTACAGATATTTCAAGAGAAAGAAACTGTGCTCATATATTTACTCTGGGCTCGAAAGACATTTATTGATCCAGTTAAAGGTCGGTATTGATTATGCTAAGTGAAGAAAAGAGAAGCAAAGTCATGTTAAAAAAAAAATAAGCCAAGTATCTAACACTTAAACATTCTTTCTGTGCGGTGACACTGTATATTATTCATTTTAAATGGAATGCCAACCTTGACAACTCCATGATCTGTACTTTATCTATATCACAGTTTCATAGGATTACCACATACCTCGTTTCATGTAAACCATTAGGTCATTTCATTCAGTTTTCAAAGTCAGAATCCAACTGGTAGTGTGTTAAATTCATTGGCTATTTTTTAATTGACATTTTTATGACGCTAAGGCTTTCACATGCCAGAAATGTTATGACTGTTATTTATCCATGTCTTGTTTTGGATTCTTTATAAGACCACATAAGTTTATATATATAGAAAATGTGCGCCTTTTTTAAAAATTTATTCCTAAGTAGCTTATCGGTATTTTTTGATGTTAAAGAGGTATATTTATATTTTAGATGTTTATTGCTAACATTGAGAAAAATCTTTGTGTTTTTACTTTTCATTCAGTCACATGTTTGCATTCTAGTGTGCAGGAGGTGTTTCTCTTTTGTTTACTTGCGTTTTCTATGTATAGAATTGCAATATAAATGGGATTGGGAGCTCTTCTAATGTATACATGCTGAATATCTCCTTTTCTTCCATGCTATTTTCAATAGCAAAGATGAATATAATGGTAATAATGGAAATACTGGTAAATGTTTTATAATTCTAACTCTTTGCTATAGTGTTTCATAGTATTTTTTCATTCCTATTTCACCTAGACGAATTAGCAAGCTTTTTTGTGTTTCAAAAACGACCCACACAGAAAATACGTGGAGTTTATGGACGACATGGTGATAATTGTTAACAAGAATGTAGGTACAGAGAATGTAGAATTGGAGAGTTGGCTCCTGACAGAATTTCATTCACAAAAATAGGGTGACAGCTAGATTTAGCTCATGAACCATTGCTCACTGATCCCAGACCTAGATTCTTATTGGGATTTACTACTCAATTTTCAAAAAGGTAGAATATTATGGTCAAGAGTTCAGACTCTGTGATAGACTATCTGAATTTGAAACACATGTCCACAAATTCTTGCCTGGGTGACCTAAAACAAATTACCTAACATTTGTTCACCTCATTTTTTTTTAATATAAAAGTTGGGTATAATACTACATGTCTTGCAAGGTTTTTAAGAGTATTACATCACCCCATAATTGAAAACCCTTTATATGCTATGCATATACCAAACATTATATACAAATACCAAATTAGTAACTTAGAAATTGCTTTTTAAGCAACCATTCCTATGATCAGATGTTTTTAATTGCAAAGATATTCTAGTATTTTAGGCTATATTGTAGAACATTCTTCTGATACATACCTTGGCTCTCTGTTCCACTGTTCTTTACGAATAGTGATGTTCACATTATGACTTTGGTATTCTTTTTTAAATATCTTTATCTGTTATTGATATTAAGTTGATGGATTTACAAGTTTAGTACTACATAATACACTGTTCTTTTTGTTTTTGTTTATTTTGGTACCAGGGATTGAACTCAGGGGCACTTGACCACTAAGCCACATACCCAGCCCTATTTTGTATTTTATTTAGAGACAGGTTCTTACTGAGTTGCTTAGTGCCTCACTTTTGCTAAGGCTGGCTCTGAACTCGCAATCCTCCTGCCTCAGTCTCCCAAGCTGCTGGGATTATAGTTGTGCACCAATGCACCCAGCTACACTGTTCTTTTTTATTTGCACTTTTGATATCAAACGTGCATTTTCTCCCCACAACAACATTCTCCAAGTCTCCAGATACCAACTGGGTGTCCTACAACTCAGTTTAATAATGACGTTAACTATCTGACATTAGCACAGACCCTACAGGCTAAGGTCTCAATCTCAAAAGACAGCCTGATTTCAGACACTAATCACAAATCCAAAATTTCCTGCTCTTCTGACCAGCTAACGTGGGATTTCCACAGCTCCCTTTACAGTTTTGAAAATTTGCTAAAACTGCTCATAAGATCCAGGAGCCCCCTTCACTTGTGCTAACAGTTTATTTCAAAGGCTATTGTAAAGAATGGAGATGAATAGCCAGAAGAAGTGAGTGGAGCAAGGGTTCAGGGCACCCAGCCCTTGGAGCAGGGGTAGAACATGGAGGTGTTCACCACCCTGGAGAGACTCTGAGCATCCATGATGGACTAATCCATTCTCTACTGGTGGGTAACTCAGTCCCCAGCCCCTGTCTCACCACTGGAACTCAGTGAGGGACTGAAATCCAACACTCCAGTCATCACTAGATCTTTCTGATGTCCAACTTCCATGCTAAAGTGAAGCTATCAGGGATCTATCCCCAACACCCATCTCATTAATGTACAAAAGTCTTTACTCAGTAGAGTCCTACTGGATTTTGAAGCTGTGTGCCAGGTATCTGGGACCAACACTAAATGAAACAAGATTTTGCCTATCATCCTTATCATTGAGGAAGTTACAGGGTTATAGTAGCCCTGTGTGTTAGGAAGCAGGGACAAAAACTGGACACCTTTTCTTTGGCAGCACAAGCACCAACTTATTTCCAGAGGTCGAGAGACTATGTACAGGAGAATTTAGGGTTTTTAAATGTTCTCTAGAATTTAGCAAAATACCATCTATCATTTTTCAGTTATTTGTGTTCTTATCCTCCCTAAAAGTGATATTTCCTACTTGCATAAATTTTAGTAAAATTTTCAATTTTTTGCTGTAGGTATCAAAATGGGGAAATAGATCATTACATTTAGTAGTTGGTTGACAGAGCCTGGTAACTAAGCTATCTTCTGGATTGTTTTCATTTATAACAATGTTTCAAAATTAAACTAAATTTAGATAATAAAATGGAAAGTTTTTCATGAGTTGCTTTAAATACTCAGATGACAGCTACCAAAGGAGAAGACACCAAGTTATGCAAGATGAGATCTCCTGAGTCCATTATGCCTCACTAGTGTTGCATAACAAGTAACCCCTAAAACTCAGTAGTTACAAAATACATTGTCACATGCTATGGGTCTGCAGGTCAGCTGTGTTTCTGAGGATATACTAGGTCTCAGAGAGATGGACCGGTTTCAGGTGGCCTCAAGTCTGATCCAGGAATGTTCACTCTGGATTTGTAAAAGCGGACGTCATCTGGATCCAGTTTTGCTCGTGGCTCTTTACCTGATACCCAGAGTGAAATCACTTAGCCACATTTTAGGTCCCGGCTCATGTCACATCTGTGAACAGTGCTTATTCAAACAAATGAGAAGGCAAATCTTCATGGTCAAGGATCACTGAGATGCTGCAGAGGGAAAATTAAACAGATATTTGGTGAACAGTAATCTGAGTTTCATATTAAAAGTTTATTCCAGGCTGTTAAGAACCCATTCCAACAGATGCAGATAAAACAAATCAAGTGGTTTTAATTTATCCATTGGTATTTAGCTGGTCCCAGCCCGAGGCAAGGGCTTCAGGGGATGCTTCTAGCATAAGGGGTGCTTGGTTCAGATTAGAAAAGGACACACTTTCCTGGGGTAGGTGAAACTTCCTGTGGAGGAAGCTTGGTGAACGCTGGCAACGTGCATCCTCACTGTCCACCTGGATAAGTGCCTGATTCTGTGCACACGTAAGTCCACTCTACATGAAGATCCTCAACTTTACTCAGTCATATTTTTTTACAATTCTTCCTTTTACCAAAATAGAAAAATTTCACATTGGGGTCTTTGATTCATACTCCTTTCCTTTTTCTTGTTCACCAACCCCACCTATTAAACTGTCTGTCCCACCCTTGACCTGATGGACTGCGCTCATCAAGGTGCTTATAGGTCACTGCTGTGAGGTCAGGCAACAGGTGGCAACCAACAGGAGGCAGGTTTAAAATGGCCAATGAACAAGGCTTTATTTATCACTACCAGGTGGAACTCGATCAGACCCACAGAGTGGACAGGAGGAGGGTCTGATGAGAAACTGGACTAGAATTTTATGGGGCTTGTGGCAGGAAGGGAAGGGCTTGGGACAGGAAAAGGGATTTTTAGAGTTGGTCAGGGGAACTGGCTGAGATCCAGGTTTGGCTAGGAGATCCCGCTGATTGACCGGCAGTTCCTTTGGTGCCTGATTGATGTTTCTTTGCTGCTCACCGGCTGGTTGGTGCTTTGTTTTTAAGTCACCGCCACCGACCAGACAACTTCCTTCACTCAAAAGTGCCAATCTTCTTTCCTAGATAATTAGCAATGTATGTTTCCCAATAGTGGATGGGAAGAAATCCCTACCAAATATTTAAACTTTCAGACTATGTATACTATCTGTGCTTCCTAAAGTAGAAATCAGAGACATGTTTTACTCAGTACCTTTCTGACAGCTTCTAGAATGTTCATCAAAGAAACATTTCAAAATTTTATACATTTCTGCTTCAACTTTGATGTGTATCAATTCAAATGATTTATTATTTTCTTAAGTAAGACAAAATGTTAGATTTCAGCAAAACTATAATTATCCTTTTTCTGTATGATGAAACAATTTTTTCATGTATCTATAAATACGCACAGGAGCCTATTTCGGGATACAATATTTGTATTGTAGTGAGGGATACAATATTTGTAGCTACATGTAGTGCATAATTTTAATAGACTATTTACAATATTCTATACAATCTGGATTATATAGATTGTTTTATTTAACTCCAGATTTGAAAGTAGGTTTGTTAATAGTTTACTGGACTTAAGACTTATCTTTTTGTTTGTTTTGCTTTGCAATTCAGGTTAAATCTCTTGATAAAGGAACTGTGGTTGGCAAGATTTCCAAGCAGTGGGCTGGTTTTATCAAAGAACTTTTTACAAACAGTGATAACTTTGGGATCCAGTTTCCTTTAGACCTCGATGTGAAAATGAAGGCTGTGATGCTTGGGGCCTGCTTCCTCATTGTGAGTCTGTCCTTTCTGATCCTGGTTGTAGGTAGTTACTATCTATAATGACTGCCTATCTAATGCTGGCTTCAGTATCATTGTGAAGTGATTCAATGAAGTGTGCATTTTAAGATGACCGTAAAGGAACAGGTTCTATGCAAGGGTTCCCACTTAACCCTACCTCTGAAATTCTATTCAATGCTTACGCTTTGGATTCACAAATGCCTAATTTTTGTCCAAAGGGCCTGGCACTTTCCATTGAGAAGAAAAGAACTTTCTATACAGCAGAGGTCCTGGTTTGGGGGCAATAATAATAATAATAGTAATAATAATAATAATAAAGTTGATGCTTAGAAGAGGAATTTGAGTTAAGACTTACATGCAATAAAACTGTGAAACATGGGGATTTTATCTTGATTCCTTATTAAATGAAATCATGTACTACTGAAAAAACAAAACAAACAAACAAAAAACAAAAACAAAAACAAAGAACCAGGCCATACCCCAATTCAACTAAGTCAGAAGTTCAGAAGAAAAAGGTTTGTAGAGCATCCCAGGAACTTCTGGCTGTGTAGTCAAATTAGAGGATTAATGGGACCAAGCAATGATCTTCAACTTTAATGCACAGGAGAAAACACAGGTAGTTTTCAAACTCTCAATGTCCAGATTGTATCCAAATGTATTAAGCATAAATCTCTGCAGCTGGGAGGGTCTGCAGTCTGTTTAGAACTCCCAGGTGACTCTGGTGTGCAACCAAGGTTTGGGCCCACTAGATAAATACCTTAAACATTGATTTTATTTGGGGATGCAATCAGAAAAAAAAAACTAATAGTTAAGGATATACAACAAAAGGATCTAATTTCTTCAACAGATAAATGACAAAGAAAATTTAAAAATAAATATACAGAAATTTGAGAAACATCAACCTAATTATAGTTTGTGGACCAGGTTTGAATACTGATTTGAACAAACTAATGTAACAACATTTTTGTGTTGTTCAGGGAAATTTGAATATTGACTGGCTATATGATGGTAAAGTGGAATTATTAATTTTTTAGATGTAATAATGACATTATGTTAGGTAAAAGCAAAACTGAATCCATATCTTTTAGAGGCACATACTGAAGTATTTCAGAGGATGTGTTTTAAGTAGTATTGGAGATTTGCTTTTAAATAATGGTGGTGAAAGCAGAGAGTTCTAGGAAGTTGAATAATTAAGCAAATATGATTATGTTAATAATTACTGAACTAGGTGAAGAGTCACTGGGACTTTATTATACTATTCTCTCTAATTTAGCATATATGTAATATTTCTGTTAATAAATATTAGTTTAATTTTTAAGTAATAATATTATTGTGATATTTATCGGGTTTGCTATGAGGTTTTGATATAGTATACAATGTGGAATGATTAACTCAAGCTAATGAATATATCCTCAAGTACCTGTCATTCTCTTGGGGTATGAAGATATAAAATTCACTATTTAAGGAATTTTGAAATTTGCAATATGTTATTACTAACTATGGTCTCAGTGTTGTGCAATAGATCACTAAAATATATTCTTCCTAAGTGAAACACATTTGGAAACTTCGATGTATCTCCCATTTCATTTCCAACAGTCCACCTCCTAGCCCCAACTTCTGAGAACCACCATTCCATTCTCTACTTCTGCAATTTCAGCTTTTTTAGATACTACACATAAGTGAGATTGTGAGAATTTTCTTTCTTTCCCTGGTTTACTTCACAAAGTTTAACATTGCCCACAACAGAATTTCCTTGTTAAGGCTGTATATCCGTTTTGAATGTGAATCATATTTTATTTATCCATTATTTTTTCCTACTACGATTTTTACCTAGGGACACTTAAGCTACAACCCCAGCCTTTTATTGTTATTATTATTATTATTATTATTAATCTTGAGACAGGGTCTCACTAAGTTACTGAGTCTGGCTTTCAATTTGTGATCCTTCAGCCTCAGTTTCCTGAGCTGCTAGGATTATGAGTGTGTGCCACCACAACCAACTCTATTTTTTGATGGACAGTTATGTTGGGTCTGTATCTCTGTTACTATGAATCATGCTGCAATAACTATGGGAGTCTAGATGTTTCTTTGGCAGATATCTTTGGCTATTCTTTTGGATAAACATCTAAAAGTAGGATGGGTCATATGTTAATTCTTTTTGAGTTTTTTGAGCTATTTTCCATAACAACTATACTAATTAATATTCCTACCAAAATGAATATTCCTTTTGAACACATTTTTTTTTTCTTTTTGATAATAGCCATATTAACAAGGGTGAGGTGATATCTCATTGTGGTTTTAATTTGCATTTCTCTGATCATTAGGGATGTTGAGCCTTTTTTGCATATATCCATTGACCTTTCCTGTGCCTTCTTTTGAAAAATGATCCTTTGCCTGTTTTTTGGGTGTGTGTGTGGTGCTGGGGATCCAACCCCAAACCTCTACATGATAAGTAAGCATTCTACCACCAACTTATTTATCCACAGCAATTTTAATCATTGTATGTGTTTTCTTGCTATTTAGTAGAGTTCTTTATGCATTGTTGTCGTGAAGGGGAAAAATTGATACATATGCAGTCAAGGGGAAAAATAAAGAATGTCCACGCACTTCTGCCCCTTTCATGCTTTATTCATTCAGATTCCTCAATACAATTTCATTCTATAGGTTCTTAATCAAGAAAACAACAATCCTTAATGTTAGGCACTGCAATAGACATAATCCACTCACAGCAAACAATTCTAGATTGATTAATTTACTGAAAAAAAATTCTAGATTAATTCTAAGCACTGCAAACACATTTAATCATGACAGGCTAATGACAGACATTCCCTCTGTATGCTAAGTTCAAATGTCAGATCAAAAGTCTTAAGCCTTAGGCTTTAAGTCCAGCAGATGCACACCCACTCAGACTGCAGTGATCAGGTCCAGAACTAAGGCAGGCTTTTCCTGGTGTGGAGTGGACGATCAGTTGAGGAGAGGGTCATATAGAGAAGCTGTGGCTCTCATCAAGGTCCAGATGAGGCGGTAGAGTTCGAGAGCCATGAGGATCATGCAGAGGATCAGGAAACTGATGACAAATGATGGGATGTCAGTTCAGGTCCTCATCAGGATCTCCACCTGGAATGTATCCTTGTTTTGGCTGGTTGAATCCCTGTTCATCAACTCTATTATTTATACTAAATTTGGGGGCTTTTGACTCCCCTTTTCAATCCATATCAGTTACTACTGGATTTCTCCATGACATCATTTACCTTGGGGTCAGAAACATCTGGTCTGGTGGTCTCCAGACTGATCTTCTCGCCTTTTCCTCTTATCAGGTGAGGACAGCCTGCCAGGGGCTTCACTCTGTTTATCAGGGTGAGGGGAAGTAACTTGTTTGAGGCCATACTGGAGGGATCTGTTGGATGTGCCTGGTGAGACTGCAGGTTTCAAACTGGAGTTTTTAAAGTGGAGTTGCTTAGGCTCAGGCCTAAGGCCATCCTCACAATTGTGGTTCTTAGCCCCTTTTCAGATGTATGATTTCAAGCATTTTCTCTCAACCCATAAGTTATCTCTTGCCTCATTGGTTGTTCCCTTTGTGATACAGAGTTTCAATGAATGGATGAAATCACATTTATTGACTTTTCCATTCAATGCCTGTGCTTTCGGAATCATATCCAGGAAATAATTTTCCAGATCAATGTTATGGATCCTCCCCTCTTACATTTTCTTCTTGTAGTTTATAGTTTCAGGTCTTACATTTAAGTCTTTAATCCATTTTTCATTGGCTATTTTTAGTACCCTGTGTGAGATAATGACCTGGTTTCATTATTTTGCATGTGGCTATCCAGTTTCCTAGCACCATGTTGTGGTTTAGATGTGGACTCCCTCTAAGCTCATGTGTGAGACAAGGAAAGAAAGTTTAGAAATGAATGATTGGATTATGAAAGCCTTAACCCAATTAGTGAATTAATCCCCTGGTGAGGATTAACTGAGTGGTAACTGAAGGTGGGTAGGGTGTGGCTAGAGAAGTTGGGTCCCTGGCGGCCTGCCTTTGGGGTATAAATTTTGTATCTGGCTAGTGGAATCTCTCTCTGCTTTCTGATCATCCTGTGAGCAGCTTCCTCTGCCACACTTGTCCTCCATCATGATCAGCCTCACCTCAAGGCTCAAGGAATGGAACCTGCTGTCTTTGGAGTGAGCCCTCTGAAATTGTGAGCCCCAAAATGAAATTTTTCTCCTCTAAAATTGTTCCTCTCTGGTCTTTTAGTCACAGCCACAAAAAGCTGACTATAACACACCTTTATTGACAGCACTGTCCTTTCCCTATTGTGTATTTTTGATATCTTTGTCAAATATCAATTGATCATTAAAAAATGGGTTTCTTTCTTTCTGGATTTTCTGTCCTGTTCCATTAGTTAGTATGCCTGTGTGTATATGAGGACCATACTATTTGGATTGCTGTAGTTTTGTAACATGTTTTGAGACCAGGGTGAAGGTCCTCGGATTTGTGTTTCTTACTCAAGATCACATGACTTACTCAGGTTCTTTTGTGGTTTCATACAAATATTAGAATTGTTTTTTCTATTTTTTGAAAAATTATATTGGGTTTTTGATAGGTATCACACTGAACCTATATTTTATGCTGTGTTGTATAAAATCTTAGTGATATTGATTTCTCTAATCCATGCTTGCAGTATAGGTTTCTGCTTATTTGTGTCATCTTCAATTTCTTTCATCAATACCTTATAGTTTTCACCATACAGATCTCTTACATCCTTGGTAACACCTAAATAGTTTATTTTTATACAATTGTAAATGGGATTGTGTTCTTAATTTGTTATACATACAACTCTTGTCATGAGAAAAGTCATATTACTAGAGAAGGACTAAAAAACATTAAGGAAGAAAGATTTAAATAGGAGGATCTCAAGGGGGATTAGAAAAAAGATGACATTCATGGAAATTAACAGAGGATCAACTAAATTCATTCAGAGATCAGGATATAGAAAGAAAGGATTAAATTGCTACTAAGTGGGGAGCTGACCGCAGAGCTTGCTTGGCTGCAGTCTTTCCTAGATCTACTCTACACTGCATTTTTCTTGCTCACAAATGTTTCACTGTGTGTGATCAGTTCCTTCAGTTTTATGCCTCTGAGAATCCATCCCCTGCTTTACCAAAGAAAATTCACATCTGAATTTTTCTTTTTCTTTTTTCTAGGACTTCATGTTTTTTGAAAATACTGGATTACAGAGACCAAAAATAGGAATATGGTAGTGGATTTGTGAAAGTATCCTCAGAAAATTTGAAGGCTGCGTATTGATAGAGATCATCTAATAGGAAACCCGGTGGCTGCTTCTTCTCTGTGGAAATCACTCACACCTGAATAAAATGAACCGCAATGCCCACACCTTCCATTGTAGGGTTTTGCTTTAATTAGAGATTGTTTTCTGTCTCTTGCTGCCTTATGAACATTCGCACACACCTGTGTAAAGGTTCACTATGAATGTGGGAAAAGAACATTGGGGGGTATTTGGAGTTGTGGCTCAGTGGTAGAGTGCTCGCCTAGCATGCATAAAGCACTGGGTTCCATCCTCAGCACCACATAAAAATAAAAATAAAGATACTGTGTCCACCTAAAACTAAAATATAAATATTTTTAAAAAAAAGATTTTAAGGGGGACTTTACATCTAGGAATGAATGTTTATATGAAAAACTGCTTTAAATTTCAATATCCTATCTATATTTCATAACAAAATAAAGTCTTACTAAAGCAATTTTAATAAAAATAATTATTAAATCCAGTTGTAATTTATACAAGAAATCCTAATGCTATGTTGAATATAACATCTATTCAAAAATTTTAAGAAAACACTTCCTGTTTCCTTTGCCATTATGGTCCAATAAATACTACTCAGTGTGAATATTAAGAAAAAGTAAATTTTTTCTCTTTATGAAATCACATTATATTTTAATGCTCCTATTAATCCATGTACTGCTATAAGTATAATTTTCACACTAACAAGACACTAAATTATAAGTGTTAAATTGTTTTCATTAAAAGAAGCATGATTCTCTGTCAAAGAAATACTCAGTTTAAAACCTCACTTTGACCATATATGGTGGTGCACACCTGTAATTCCAGTGGCTCAAAAGACTGAAGAAAAAGGATGGTGAATTCAAAGCCAGACTCAGCAACTTAGTGAGAACCTGTCTCTAAATAAAAATATAAAAATGGCTGGGGAATGTGGCTCAGTGATTGAGTGCCCCTGGGTTTAGTCCCCAGTATCACCCCTCTCCCCCCTGCAAAAAAAAAAAAAAAAAATCCTCCAAAACAAACCCTCACTGTCTCTAAAATTTTACTATTGCTATAATGTTAGAAGTTATTATTTACATGTGAAATGTTTAGCTCCTGTATTCTAACAATCCTGGAACATAATAAGAATGAGATTAATCAGGTGTTAATTAAATGGAACAAACAGATTCATCCACAGATTATGAACTTCAAAAATAGTCAAATCATCTACAACAATAATCAAATATCTAAAAAGAAAACTCACTGTTGTATTTTTGCATATATGATTTTATTTTTTAAACAAAATGTGGTCCCTGGACTCAGGTGGCATTCTGAGCTCATCTAACCCAGTTAGACGAGTTCCCCTCACTCCACTTCCTCTTCAAATTCTCTCTTCTCAAGAGCCAGGGCATGTGATGCCTTTTGGTAGGACCTGTACCAGGGCACAAGCTGGGCCTTTTGCCTGGCAGAAAGGCTAGGAGGGCTGCCATCTGCTCTGTGGGGAGCTTGCCTTTGGAAAGAGATGAACAGCCATGATTTGCCTCATGCACAAGACAAAGGGCTCAGGAAATGAACCCCAGGAGATCCCCTTTTGTCCTCAGCAGAGCTCCACCAGCAGCCACTGTCCTCATCCCAAGCATGAGCTCCAGCAGTGCTCCAGCAACCCCAGTAGCTCCACTGGAAATGAGGAGGACAACAGCAGGACAGGGACAGTACAGAAGAAGCAATGTCCAGGTGAGCTCCCTAAGCCTCTGCAGCTCATCAGAGGCCAGGCTCCAGGGATGAGCTGTCACCATGACACTCACTCCAGCTTGTGCTGGGAAGGCAGCCTGCCAAGTGAAGTGGGGTGCCTGCAGAGTGGGGTCCCCGGGTTATTGGTCATGCCAGATGGAGAAGGGAGGCATCCCAAGGCAGCAGTCAGGTACCAAAATCAACCTAAAAGGAAGCATAAAGGACCTGACATTTCTAAGACAACTGAATCTCTGATTTCTTCTCCTCTCTCCTCCGCATGGGATTCTGGATGTCTGGTTAAGCAAAGCAAAACTACAACTGATCTACACAGTTCCTTCCTTCAACTTAGCAAGGAAGGTTTCAGGAGAAACCCACACACCATCCCCTGGACCTATTAAGTTCATATTCTGGACATACATCTTATTCAATATTCACAGAGAAAATCATCAAACATGAAGTATTAACAATTTAATAAAAAATACCAAAAATTGCAAGAAATATCTGCATTTGCGGTCTCAAAGGTATTTGAGGGCTGTCGCAGGCTTGTTTCTATTCTACTATGGGGATAGTAGCAGTGCAGGGAGAGTGACCCAGAGCAAGGGTCACATGGAGAAGAGCCATTAAGACAGCTGTGGATGGAGCTGTGTTTTCAGTCCTGAGAAGGGGACTCTGTGCAAGAGGTCAGTGGGTATGGGGTGAGAATGGAGATGGAGGGAGGGGAAGGGTAAAGGGTGTCCCTTTCTGGGCTTGCACTTTTTGGTGGGAGCAGGTCTGAGGTGTGAGGGGGTAACGGAAGTGCAATCAAAGCTGGCAGATAAAAAAGGGAAAAATAAAAACCATCGGATTCAGGCAAACTGCCCACAAATCGTGCTCTAGGCTTCTGACTTCCTAATAGTTTGCTGCTTTCTGGAGCCCAGATATTAAGGTTTTAACTGAGTGGAGCTCAACAAAAGCAAGTATGATTTTTAAACTAATTAGAAGAAACTCACTTAAGAAATCGTACCATCACCTAGGAAATTATGAAATGCTGCTGGGCACAATGACTCTCGGGACTGTCAATTGCCAGAAGGGTAAACAAAGTTTCTGTGTCCTGCTCTACCTCTGCCCTGTCCCTCCCAGCCAAAAACTGGCTTCTTGTTTTTTTTTTTTTTGTTTTGTTTTGTTTTTTGTTTGTTTGTTTTAATGTTCCTGCACAAGACACTATCTCTCTGGGGCTCCGTGTCCATCCTTCCGCTTTAATTTCCTCATTGTCAGTCATACATTTGTCTGCTAATAGTAGCCATCTCGGAAGTTTGGTGTTAGGACTGGGATCTGCTGCAGGTCCAGGGCCGTGAGCACATCCCCACGGAACCAAAATATAAAATGAAAAAGGCTTTGTGTTGATAATGATCAGTGCTTTTCAAAACAGAGAAGTGGCTCATGCCAAAGCAAATGTTTGGGCTAAATTGGACTTAGATGTTATGGCTTAGCATGACACATAAAATTCACTCTGCACCCTAAGGCAAGTGCTGTTTCTTCCCTCTGGAGAGAGAGGAAGTCCACGCACAAGATGGCAACCAGGAAATGATGACTCCCTTCTTCAAAGATGGGTGGAATACCATCTGGACAGAGAGGCACTGACTTTTCTTTCTTCACCTCATAAACTCCAAATGTGACAAGCCATTGAAGGGATTTAAATTCTTGATTATGAAACTAGAATAAATGTAAGTGAACAATACAGGGTCTGAACTTGAGACTCAATTTATAAGCAGAGAGCCACAGGATGTGATCCACGGAGCCAATAGCCACAGAGCTCTGAATTTTCCTCCCCACACCACACATTCAAGTTAACCTTCCATCTACTTGTAATATTTATATGGTAGAAAATATCCTATTTATGCCAAATGATGGCTCATATAATTTTCTAAGTTGGAACTTGACTAGATTTGGAAAATGGATGCTTAAATTCCGCCTGCCTACTAATGGCAGTTGGTTTCTGCCTGTGAATTCTGGTTTCCTGTCATTAATATTGAGGTTCTCCTGTCTGTGAGTGATGCAATTCTTTCCACAGGATAAATTTCCTTTGAGAATGAGTTGGTAGAAAACATTTTTAACCTTAGTCAAGCATTGTCCACTCATCTAGAAATGATTTAGAGGAATTCTCCATTGGGTAAAACTTTTGGATTAAATCAAATCACCATTAACTATGTAACGACTGAACACATTTCCATTCATTCTACTGCCAGAATTCTCTCCCATTATTGCTGGTCATAAGCAGAAGAGGATTTACTCACAAAATTCATTTTTTCAAGTCTATTTTTGTGTGCATGTGAAGATTCACTCATATAGTTCATAAAAATCTAATTGTGACATTGAACTCCTTAGAAATGAGAACGTACACAGGTCATGAGGGCTTTTTTTTTTTTTTTTTTTTTTTTAGTTTAACCCTTATCAGTCTTCTGCTTCTTGCTATTGATATTGTTATCCTTATCATCTTCAGATGCCTCAGCTTCCTCATCTTCATCTCCATCCTCTTCCTCAGCATTCTAAAAGTACAAAATTCATTTTAAGAAGCTAAAGTTATCCATCGGTCATTTAGTAAATACACAGAAAGTTCCTGCTGTGGTCTGTTGGTTCTACTAGGCGTGTTGGACTCAATTAACAACAGAATTTTTATATTTAAGATGCTTGAGTGCAGGCATACAGGTAGAAAATGTTCTAGTGGGGCTCATAGGAAGTGCGCATTATGGACATGACCCAGTTCAATGGTCAGGAAGCACTTCCTGAAGGAAGTGGGTTTTAAAATAAGAAAGTTTGCTGGGCAAAAAGGAAGCCGGGGGTAAGAACCTCAGCAGAAACCACACAAGGGGTCTGCTGTGCGGCTGGACCACCTGCTTTGTGTTTCTGTGAGTGTTGTAGGTTATGGAAATTGGGGGCGGTGGTGTGTGTAAGTGAAGGACGGCTTGACCATACAGTGCCCTTTTAGCCACATTCAGAAGTTCAGGCTGTATCCTCAGAGCAATAGCAGAATCTGGCCATGCCAGGTTCAGATCTCTGCTACACCTAAAGCTATTCAAGGCCTGTTGTGTGCTCACATATCTGCAAACGGGGCACCCAACACACGCAACCAACTTTATAATAAAGAAGATGCAATATCATAAATGTTGTAAGGAATATAGTCTCTGAGGCCCAGCTTATCTAATAGGTGTTCATTTTAGTTTCCTTCTTTATTTCATGCTTCTGGGGTTTATGGGAATTGATACTTGTGGAATGATATGTACTGAAATAAAGAGACTTAGAAGAGTAGACACAGACAGACATATAAGTTATACACTGGGAAAAGGTCTTGAGAAAAAATTTTCAACAAATGAAGAAAGTGAGAGCGGA